ATTGGGATAACTTCAAGCCCCTTAGCTCGCTTGTATCGGTGGGAGCTTACTTCACTTGTTTTCTTTAAGTCACTTGCCAGGAGGGACAGATAAAGAGCTCCATCACCTTACTTAACAAGAGGCGGTTTACGAAAGAGAGTCCCTACTTTATTGCTCTAGCTCTTGACTCTTATGGCACTGAAATTGGATAGGTTCACGCTTAGGCCTGGTTATGGAAACTCTTTAAGCATAGGAAATCTTTCCTTATCCATAGGAAACTCCAACTTAAACAGGACAGAGATAACTGCTTTGACTCCTTGCTGTGCTATTAGCCACCGGCCGCAATGATGTTTGTATAAAGTCACGACACAAGCGATATATAAAGTCACGACACAAGCGATGATGTTTGTATATGCGTACGGTACATAATGCATGGGAATGCATGCGAATGTTACCTCGCACAGGAGATTTGTGTGAGCATGTCATCATCTTGGTTTTTTTCAATGCAGGAAGCTTTATTTTACAAAACAAAGTTCTGGCATATCACGTCTCCTGCATGTGGAAGCAAGCCAATGCATATCTATACGATGTTCTTCACCCACGGAGGAAACGACACGAGCATGACGAATACATATTCATGGGCCGAGAGATACACAAACTTTCAATGAAATTCTTGTTGGCTGTACCTGCCGTGCATCTCATCGGCGTTCGGCTGTCATTGTGTGCGCCCCGCTCGTCCATCGCGCCGCGCAGCTCGTTGTCCGTCGCGTGCAAATCAACCGTCACGGATATCGCCGCCCTACTAGGTACTAGCCCATTGCGCCATGCAGCTCACCCATCGGGCATGAAGCTCGGCCGTCATGGACGCCGCCGCCCAGCTCGCCCATCGCGTGTGCAGCTTTTGGCCATCGCAGACGCCGCCGCCCCGCTCGTCCGTCGCACCGTGTAGCTTGGCCGTCGTGCATGCAGCTCGTCCGTGGCCGCCCCTCTCAGGCCATCGCACGGTGCAACTCATCCGTCACGCATGAAGCTCAGCCGTCACGGACGCCGCTGCACCGCTCATCCGTCGCACCATGCAGCTCGGCCGTCACGAACGCCACCGCTAGCTTGCCCGCTGCATCTCCTGCACACCGCGTGTGCACCAGCCCTTTCATTGGCCATGGAGGATGGCACGTTCCAGGCTCCTCACAATCAGGATGCGGAAGTCGCCGAGATCCAACAAAAAGCTGACGGGCGTTCCTGAACTCCAATAGCCAACTCTCCAAATCTGATGGCTGCCACAGTGCCAAATGCCACCGTCTCCGATGCCAGCAAGGCCGGCCACAAAAGATCTCGAGAAAATTAATCACTCAGAGAAAAATAGAAGAAAAGGAAATATTAGGAGACAAAGAAATAGAAGAAAAAGAAATATAGGAGATAAGTTTTAGAAATTTTGTTGCAGCACGCAATGCTGTCCTATATGTTGAAATGATATAACTCTAATATAAATTAGATTATACATCTCGTACTACACTCTTATTTGATAGAGATAGAGATAGAGATAGAGATAGATATAGACAAAGAGAAGAGATAGAGATAGAGATATATAAAGAGATAATGATAAAGGTAGATATAGTGGTAGTGAAAGAGAAAAATACTGGAATAGAGATAGAGGCAGATATATAGAAGAAAAGAAATAGATCTAGCTGGAGATAGAGATATAGACAACAAAACAAATATGATGTCCTTCCATGTCGTATTTTGTCTGTATTTGAATATTATATATAGATGCACCATTCAACAGCTCATGGCACGATTGTGTTTGGAGACGGTTAGATCATTCACAGTCCGATATGAACATGAGTGATAGGTTTGGAGCCCTGATGCTTATGTTGTTCCTCTTTGTATTCATTGCCCAATGTAAGTGTCTCATCATCAGATAGGCTTTTATCTTTTAATTATATTGGTTCTAGATATACTACGTCCTCATGAGCAAACAATCAATCAGGTCGTCCTCAGGAAGAGCTCGTTGTTGCAACTGCAATGGACCGACCTGCTCCCTTCCCTGATCCTTTGTATGGTGGCTCATCATGACAATAGAGAGCTGTACTGCTGTGGTGGCCATATGCGGTGCCTTGTTTGTTATGACACTAGGGATAAATGTAAGGCCAAGTGCCAGAGTCCACTTCCCAACTGCAACTGATGATCACCCATCAACGATTGCATGATCTGTGCAATCCTCAAGGCCATTCATGGTGCTCTAAAAACTGTTATCCCTTATCTCTAAACCATGCATGCATGTACTGTGCTTTGATTGATTATAATAAGAAGAAAAAAGTTCGATACTTGTTCCATCTATCAGTACTTGTTTTTGTTTCAATATTTGGCCTTTCAGTGGATCCTCGAAAGTGGTGCCGAGTTTTTTTGTTTTGTTTTGTTTTTACAGATGTCATGCATGAAAATCATAATATTATTAATCTGATGCCGCTAAAATTAAAGAGCCTCTAGGTTAATTCTCACAAGACACAATAGACATTCATAATAGCTCTAGCCTCTTGAGGAGCTCGATGTGTTGGAACTGCAAGGGGCTTTATCAGACAAGAATATTGTAAAGCGGTTCATCAAAATAATAGAGAGGTCTACTGCTGTGGCTGGCATCAACGTCCATCTTGTTATGACACTAGGGATAAATGTACCACCGAGTGCTACCATTATAATCACACAACGGATGACCGCCCATCCATTCAACGACTGCATGATGTTTGCAATCCTCAAGTCCATTTATGGTGGTGTTAAAACTGCCTTTACTGATCCAAATATTACACTTTTTTCTCGACTGTACCATGAGGCACGTTTTCATTACGAGGAAGTAGAGTTTAAAAAGTAACACAAGACTCGCAAGTAATCCTAGGATTACCACAGCAGTCCCAAAGACACAATGAGCAGCAAGAGAAAGCGGGGGGCAAAAGACCCTCAGACTCAACACCTTGACAGACTGAACCGAAAGACAACAACACAGTGGTAGCCTACAGTGCAGTGAAACCGTGGTGGCAACGAGGCGAGCTTCCAACAGCGGTGGCGGCAAAGTATCCGCTAGAGGAAGGACCAAAACAACCTCGGTGGCAAAGCATCAAAGTTTTAGGACTCATCGAGCTCTACAACATGATATAAAACCGGTCTTCACTTAACTTCGTTCAAAAAAATTATGAATTTATTTATGATAACTACTTTTAGGGCATCTTATTAAAATGAATTTCATGTGGTGGTCGATGTTTCCATCTGCCCCTAGAAATGTCATCATTTTCTGGGCCGGTCGTAAACAACAATCATCCCTAAAATTGTCATTTCTACAAACGGTTAACATTACCGACCACCTCTGACAAAGCACATTTCTATGGTTGATTGGAAACACCAACCATCTCTCGAAATCAACTTCTAATTAAAGGTGGTCCGTATATGGAACCATTTACAGATGTGGGCTTCTGAGCCGACAGTTGCTAAAAAGATGGTCTCTATGAAAATACGTTGCAACGACTTACATTGCAGATTTTGAGATTGATTAGATGAAAAATCTAGCTCCAATTTAAGATCGAGATAGAGATAGATATAGACAAAGAGAAGAGATATAGATATATAAAGAGATAATGATAAAGGTACATATAGTGATAGTGAAAGAGAAAATACTGATATATATATATATATATATATATATATATATATATATATATATATATATATATTATTTTACACTGAATAAAATTCAGTACTGTTCAATAGTCGTGTTTCAGTATTGTTTAGTATTTCGTGGTCTTATGTGTAGTACTGACTGATACTAAATGCGATTCAGTAATACTCAGTTTTTTTTCTGCTCAATTTTGGCTTGTGGTGTCGAATATTATTCTACACCTACTGAACCATGTTCAGCAGTACTACACCCAGCATCACGAAATATTGAACGATACTGGTTCAGCAGTACTACACACAGCATCACGAAATACTGAACGATACTGAATTCTGTTCAGTATAGCCGTCGTGGCTGGGGCACCATCCAGGTGGTGCGAGAGCTGTCATGGAAGGAGCGCTCTGGGGCCACCATCACCAGTTCGTGACTCGCGCCGCGCCGGTGGCGGAGAGCCGGAGACCCACGCCCCCACGCGCCGCGCTGGTGGTGGAGGAGACCCGCGCCGCCACGGTGACGCCGCTGCCGGGAGGTCGGAAGGGACGCCGCAGCCGGTGCTTGGATTGGAGAGGACTTGACGCTGCCGCCACCGGTGGTTGGATTGGAGAGGCCTTGACGCTGCCGCCACCGGGAGGATGCACTGGGAGGAGCCGCCGTGCGGTGTACTCTTGCGGGGCGATTTTTGTTCGTGACTGCCCTCTGGAAGGAAGTGACGTGATTAGCGGGATCGGAGATGCGGTCCAGTTTAATCCGTTGATTTACGAGCCAAGGCAAGCAACGGCTGGAGGATTGTGCTTTCCTGGGTAATTTGGGGGGTGTCGCTCAATTTGTATGGAGCACGCTACATTAATTAGGAGTCCAGCCAGCAGGGGGAATCGATCAATGCACTAGTCCGAAGGGGACCACAAAGCGCGTCAACTGCGGTGGATGAATGGACGGGCATGGTTCGCTGGTGGCTCGGACTCGGGAGTTTTGGTGTAGCTTGCTACAGGGTATTAATTCTATATATATTAGAAATATCCAAATGAAATGGATGGTAACTACCGGCCTATATATGCATGGTAGCTACCCTCGTGGACCACAAATACCAAAAATAGGAAAGGACCCGTGTAGCCAGTATAGCCACTGACAAACCACCTTTACATACTCCATTTAACAACGCTGACATCCGAACTCTTGCTCTCTTCACATGCAAGTGGTCCATTAGCATGCACGAGAATGCCAAACCAGCCACAACCTTACTAACCCTGCATGCATGCATTCTGTCATTCTCCGGATACTAATACCAATCAAAAAGTTCAGATTCTGATTTGTATTTTTGCATATAATTGAACTTTGTTGTATAAAGAGCGAGATTAATGCCATGGCCCATGTAGACCCAGGCTTCGGCTGGCTGCATGCGTTTTCAGTGCGATACGCACAGGCATTTGAAATGTTTGCTGTTGCACAGGAGCTAGGCTTGCCGATTGATGAAAAGATGTACACAAACATGCTTAGCTTATATGGAAAAGCCGGTCAGGTTCTTGTGCCCTGTAAACAAATCAACTAAAGATCTTTTGATTGATTATTTTTGCCCACTGCTTCAGTTTTCCTTCTATCCAGTTCTAAGACTATGGATTTTTCATATTTTCAGGTAGGCATCACGAGGCGTCTTTAATGTTCAAAAGAATGAAGGAAGATGGCATCAGGCCTGGAAAGGTTCTCTTTCATTGAATGTAACTTTTGAAATTGCTTTCAGAAAACAAGGAGTGTTGTAGTTCCCCCTTGATCATCTAAAGCAAACATGGCTAATCTGGACCAAACTTGCAATGTGCAGATCAGCTTCAATTCCATGATCAATGCCTATGCCACTTCAGGACTGTATAGCGAGGCGAAAAGCATATTCCAGGAGATGCAGGACTGTAGTCACGCTCCCGACTCGTTCTCCTACCTCGCGCTGATCAGAGCATACACGGAGGCTAAACTGTACACTGAGGCAGAAGAAGCCATCCAGATGATGCTGAACAGCAACACAACCCCTTCCTGCCCTCATTTCAGCCACCTGATTTTCGCCTTTCTGAAGGAAGGCCAGATTGGTGAAGCCCAGAGGATCTACAACCAAATGAAGGAGGCAAGTGTGGCTCCTGATCTGGCCTGCTGTAGGACCATGATGAGGATGTACATGGAGCACGGTCTCATGGATGAAGGCATCTCTCTCTATGAGACGACACGCGGCTCGCTGAAACCTGACAGCTTCATCTTGAGCGCTGTGTTTCATCTGTATGAACATGCAGGCAGGGAGTCTGAAGCCCAGGATGTCCTGGATGCCATCAGTGTGAGTGGTACCTCCTTCCTGAGGAATATGAAGATTGGATCGAAGCTTTGATGAACCTGAAGGACTACCCGTGATGTGTACATAATCTAAAAGAAGTTAAGTTAGGGCACTTAAACATGCAAAAAAAGATTTCCTTTCATTCCCTTCGGGGGGAGAGCACAAGTGCAACTGCTTCAGAATTCAAGAACACATATACCACAATGGTACAGAGCCAAGAATGAATGGTGTGACCCATGACTATTTTAGAAATTACTACCCCCTGTTTATGATTTGAGGGCATGCTAATTAGTTCAAATAAAGCAATTAGTTTGTCCTAAATATCTCCCTCGTAACTCAGCCATGTTCTTGGCCAAGAACGTAACCTGCAACCATGCTAGCTGTGTTCTTGGCAAACAACGTAACCCCAACTTCTGCCCATCTACCTACGTGGCATTCTTTAGCTGCTAGTCATGGACGTTGTCGAACAGCTCGTCCGTCGCCAGCACTACAACGTCGCCGTCCCTTAGCAGACATCTGAAAACGGCCGCCCACTTGTACCACACCATTGCCAGATGACGAGATGATGAGCACAATAGTTCATTGAGATTGTGGCGTACCATGAGCGATTGGGGCGCACAGTAGACAGTGAGTGACGCTGTAAATTTCACGGCTTGTGCAATACAGTGTTTTTACTTTCAAAACAGAGTTCAAACCTTGGGAACTTCAAGCTTAAAGTTGGTAAAAACTTCAGCATGAGTGCCAAACAAACAAGTGCCAATAAGTCACCCAGCTGCATCACTGAAATAACAGTGCTTCCAGTACTTAGTTCATAAAAACGCACAAGTATAAAGCTGGCTCAGAACAAGAAAAATGTAACGAATGCTAACACAAAACATAAAGTCGTCATACTCCAATTGCATAACTAGACATACCCAGGTTCCAACGGCGAATTCTTACAGTTTTTAGATCTCTAAGAAAACCAATGGTAAATTCTTACAGCAGAAATCATTGGCCGTCACAGCACTAAGAGAACATACTGGGAACAACCCATGTAGGTTGCACCATGCCCATGTGGTCGTCATGTAAGTGAGTTACATAAATAAAAGCTCGAAGCCAGGTGGCATCATCTCCAAGCAGTGGCTTGCCCAACTCAAATGCAACCAAATGGCCAGAACGAGAATCATAGCAGTATACACAGTTGCTTCTCCCTCCCCACCTCTCTGGGTTCATGCACGATAGAGCCTCAACTCTAAGGTAATTGATGATGAATATCGCCCATTTCTCCAACCTCTCCACCTTTACCCACTTTGCAGGTTCAATCGAAGTGTCCAGATGATAAGCTTCAAATGAAGGCCCAGTTCATGAGGAATCGCTTCGGCAGCCAACCACAAGAAGCATGTCGCCGCACACCACCAGCCAAGCGAATCTAGGATGCCATTCGGTCATGCTATTTCTTCCACCCCAGGAAACCGGTATCTCTTGTAAGTGGATCTGGGGAGTCAAGTGAACCATGAATAGCCTACGATCAGAACCCATGCCAAAGACCTGGTCTTTGAAGACTACAAATTTGGTGAGTGGCCCATTGCAAGGAGAGCATTTTGACCAAGAGTTACTACCAATAGGCCAAAAGAAGTTGGAGGACTTAGTATAGACAATAAGATGTGGGTTGGGAGATGCTAGAGGACCTGTGAGGGCAGCACCATAGCAGAACTTAGTGTTTCCAACTACTGGCAGTGGCAGTCCTAGCAGTGGTGGAGGTGCTATGAGGTCAATACCAGAGCGGAACCTAGTGTTTTCATCAACTGGCAGTGGTGGAGATGAAACCTCAATACCAGTGAACACATCAAAAAGAAAACATGATTTGTTGCTGCAGAAGATCATATGGCCAAATGAAGCACCCTTAAAACCAAAATCAAAATCAAACTCATCCAAAGCACTTGGTCAGTGGTTATTTCTATAGTCGATAGAAAGCAGAGGAATCTGAGAGCAAAGTAACGTATCTTGGTTGGCTAGATCAACGACGTAACATGGGCATTTGGGTACAGAGGTGTTTCTGGTAACATTTGGAAAAGGGCGAGGGGAGCAGAAAGAGACATTAGGGTCGAGGAGAAGAGGTGGAAAGAGCGCGTATAAGGTAGATTTAGATGGGTAAGATGAGAAGGCAGAGCGCCAGGTGGGGTAGGTGGCTGCAAAGGCAAGACAGTCAGGGAAGGACCCCAACAATTCAACAATGGAGTGCAGCAGGCCATCTGGGAGCCCTGCCCAATCTCGAAGCTTGGACATAACTTGTAGGTGAAAGCAGCTTCTCTGTGACAAATCGTAAACCCAAAGCAAATGTTAGCAGATTGAACTGGAGATAATAAAGGGAACAAAACTGTTAAAAAATTATAGAAAATATGACTAGCACATATGTTTTCTCAAAATGTCAAATTGTAAGCACAAGAATGTGGGAAAATATTGGGTGCAAACCACCCTCTTGGTGCAATCGTGAAAACCCTTCAAAAAACCATACTTAGATGTTTTAAAAAATTATAAAACTATGCACATCCATAGTTCATCCTCAGCCTGGGCACTTTTTACCCGCAAACCGCAAACCGAACAGAACCGAACCGCACCGAACCGAAATATCGGTTTGTTCGGTTTTTTGTTGTTGGTTCGGTTTATGGTTTTGCACTGTTCGGTGTTCGGCTTCGGCTTTGGTTTTCTTCGCAAACCGAACCGAGGAACCGAACAAACTGAAGTGCATGCTGCAGACCAGAAAACTGGAAACACCGAAACACCTCCGTCGAGTCGTCGACCGTCGCCTCACGCCCTGACGCCCTCAATCCCTCACGACCCATAGTTCGACGGCTCATCAAGACGCAAAGGAAACCCCCATCCGGCCATCCCGCAGCTCAGCGCGCAGAGAGGCAGCGCCGCAGCCGCTCATCCCGCTCTCTCGGACGCTCGCCATTCCCTTCCCTAACCCTAAATCGTCGAGTGGCGGCCGGCGGGCGACTGGAGCAGGTCACGGCGAGCCGGCGAGGAGAAGGGAGGCAGGAGGCGGAAGGCTGAGAGCACAGTCGCAGCCTCGCAGGGACCAGGTAGGAGGCGCGGCAGGTGGCCAGGCGCCCGGCAACACCCTCGTGAAGTTCTCTGACCAAGACAACGGCGGCACGGACGGAGCGGTCCTCCAATGTAAGTTTAGATCGAGCTTCAATTCTTTTTTTGGTCTTCTCCTCTTCTCCTTGCTGTTGTTAATTCCTGATTTGAAACATTTCGCATCTAGATGGGGGACACAGATGAAACTATTGCTTGTGAGATTAATCAGACTCAAACTCAAGAAACTGAAGCTGGAGCGTCAACGACTGGAGTGGTAGATGCAAGCAAGGAGCAGCAGGATAGCAAGGATGGAGAGAAAGCGGATGAAGAATCCAGGAAAAGGAAACCCATGGCTCTAAGATCTGATGTATGGGATAGTTTCAGCAAGGTCAAACTTGATAATGGGGAAGAGAGAGCCAAGTGCAAGTGGTGTCAAAAGCTGTTTCATTGTGGCTCAAGAACAAATGGTACGTCATCCTTGAAAGCTCATCTGAAGATTTGCAAAAAGAATCCAAACAAACCAGTAGTTGATAATCAAGCAACTTTGCAACTGACACCATGTGCTGGCACTAGTAGTATGGGTATTGTAACCACTTGGAAATTTGATCCTGATAAACTTAGAAGGATTTTTGCTGAGATGATAATTGAAGATGAACAACCATTTATGTTATCTGAACGTTCTGGTCTTAGGAAATTAATGGCAGAAGCATGTCCACGGTTTATTCTGCCATCTAGAAGAACAATCACTAGAGCTTGTGTTAAAGTATATGAAGATGAGAAAGAAAAGCTTAAGAAAATTTTTAAGGAAAATTGTGAAAGAGTTTGCCTCACAACTGACACATGGACTGCAAAGAATAGCCAAAACTACATGTGTGTTACAGCCCATTTTATTGACAATGACTGGAACCTAAGGAAGAAAATTATTGGTTTTTTCTTGGTTAAGGGCCATAGAGGGGAGGACATTGGGAAATCATTAGAGAATTGTTTGGCTGAGTGGGGCATTGACAAGGTTTTCACAATTACAGTAGACAATGCTAGTGCAAACAATAACGCAATTAAGTATGTGAGGCGGATCTTGAATGAGTCAAAAGGTTGTTTTGCTGAAGGAGAGTACCTGCATATGCGATGTGCTGCTCACATTATCAACCTAATAGTAGGTGATGGGTTGAAGGAAATTGATATATCAATTCATCGTGTCCGTGCTGCTGTTAAGTTTATCAGGTGTGGAACATCTAGGTTGGTAAAATTTAAGAAATGTGCTGAGTTAGCCAAGGTATAGAGCAAAGCATTTCTTAACTTAGATATTTGCACTAGATGGAACTCAACCTACCTTATGTTAAATGCTGCACAGAAGTACCAAAAAGCATTTGAAAGATATAGTGATGAAGACCCATACTACAAATTAGAATTAGAAGGAGAGAATGGTCTAGGGGTACCAACAAAAATAGATTGGGATAAGGCTAGGAAGATGGCTGAGTTTCTTGAACACTTTTATGACCTCACTCTCTGTGTTTCTGTACAAAATCGTCCAACATCTCACACTTATTTTCATGAGATTGCTGATGTATTACTTACTATTTGAGAGAATGGTGTCATAGTGAAGACAACCTGTAAGGAAATGGGTATGAGAATGTTAGTGAAGTACTACAAATCTTGGGGAGATAAGTATGGTGAGAGGTTGGGAGAGCAGAGAGAGAAGAGAGGAGAGAAAGATAAGGGGGGTCAGTTGCTCAACTTCATTGTTTTCTTCTGTGTTGCTATTGATCCTAGATACAAACTTTCAAAATGCATTAGAATGGGAATTAAGGTAATGTTTGGGGATACAATAGGAGAAAAGTTGTGGGATACAGTGAACACTTATTTTCGTGCTTTGTTTGAAGAGTACAAGGAAATGTATGCCCCAAAAGATAAGGCACCACAACCTCATCGAATCTGAATCATTTGAAACCAAAGACAAGAGTGAGTAGGTGGATGTCGAAGAATTCTGAAAGCAGATTAATGGTGAGGTGGAAGCATCAAATCTGAGGTAGACAAGTATCTATCGGAAGATAATGAGCCCGGACACAAAAGGATTTGACATTCTAAAGTGGTGGAAGGCTAATTCAACAAGATTCCCAATATTATCTAGAATGGCCCGTGATCTGTTGGCGATTCCTATCACCTCGATTGCCTCTCGAGTCACCTTGATCTTTGGTGGCGAACTCTTGATGACTTTAGGACCTCACTAACCCTAAAAATGGTTGAGCGCCTCGTTTGTGCAAATGATTGGCTTCGTGGAGGAAACTATGTTAGTGTTGAAGAGGACAAATGAACAAATGTTTTTGCTTGAGGAAGGTAACATATTAAATTATTAGTTGCTTCTAATGTGCTTCATGATTCATACACTGTACTAACTTAGATCATCTATTCTTTATTTATTTTAGAACTTGGTGGCCTGTCCATTTCTAAGGAAGCTACTACAGCTACTGAGTCCTGACTCCTGATCACCTGGTAAAAGGTACATTCATCTGTTTAATATTTCTTGGACTACTGAGATTCACTAACTGAGTCACTGAGATCACTTGATGGCTGCAGGACTGTGGACTGCTGATGCTCCAGACCTCCAGTCATATGATGCTTGTAGTACTTCAAATGTGATTCTGTCCAGTACTTGTCTCCCCACTTGGTGTCTTGGTGTATGGAATGGATCCTCAGATCCTGGCATATGATGCTGCTGCTGGCCTGCGGCTACTTCTCTATTTGAATAATGAAGAACTCTTGAATCTATGTAATTCTATTCTGTACTTCAGCACTGATCTGTACTGTTGTCTACTTGTCTTGAGGCTTGTAAGCTTGTAAACTTGTTGATTTGTTGAATTTATGTAAGCTTGTTGATTTGTTGAATTCATACACTGTACTAATATATCACTTGAGGCTTGTAAGCTTGTTTTCTGGAGTGCTTGAATTTATGTAAGCTTGTAAGCTTGTTTTCTGGAGTTTCGGTTATTTCGGTTAAAACCAAAAACCGAATAGAAAAAATCGAAACCGAATTCTGCGGTTTCCTGTTTTCTGGAGAACCGATTGGGGGCTGAAGTCTGAAAACCGAAGTTTTAAATAACCGAATTAACCGAACCGAATTATCGGTTAAAACCGAACGCCCAGACTGAGTTCATCCATAGATGTACGTTGTAGCAAAAGTTGGGAGGCAAACTTATTGTGTAAACATCCATACAAAATTGACAAATTTGAGGTGCAAGTGCACTAGAAGACAAAATTCCTGGGAATTTGTCTTCTAGTGCAAATACACATGAAATTTGTCATTTCCATATGAGTTTTTCTAGATTGATTTTGTTTCCCAACTTTTGCTACAACGTACATCTGTGGTTTGTGAACTTTTTTCCAATGTTATGGGTTTCCGCTTGATATTTCTCGTGCATAGAACTCCCCCCCCCCTTAAAGCATACAGATTGCATTGCATAGCATAGTAAACAAAAGCACAAATGCAATCACACCAAAGCGATTGCATCTCCACATCTGTGGTTTGTGAACCAGGGCAAATAGCAGCCTTAAATGAAGCTTAGGCCTGGCCCAATACCAAACTTGTCTTATTGATATTTTGGAATTTCTAAACAACAATTGACTATTTTGATATTTATTTACATGATTTATGTCGGTTATCCAATGTTTTTTATACTTTCAAAACAGAAGTTCAAACCTTGGGAACTTGAAGCTTAAGGGGGCATTTGGTAGCGCTCCCAAAACGGCTTCGGGAGCAGCTTCGCCTCATTGCCAACCAAACAGGGGCAGCTTCGTCGGCTCCGCTCATGAAGTCTTGGGAAACGTGCTCTCACAGAAGGTGAGCGCACGATGAAGCTAAAAAAGCAGCTTCGACCAGCTCCCTGGGCGAGGCGCGGGGGCGTAGACATGGATGCCCCTCACCAACGCCTCCAGCGAGCTCCTGCAAACGGTGAAGGACGAAGCTGCTCCGGTGGCGGCGCGGTTGGCTGAGGCAGGGACGGGCCTCCTCCGTGGCTCCATTCGCAGGTGAGGGAGGCGGGAGAAGAAAGAGACGACGGAGTCGATCGAAGAAGTGGAGGCAAAGCAGCGAAAAAGCCGAGGAGGATTCGTGCGGCGTGCGGTGGATGGATGGAGGCGATAAGGTGCGTGCGGTTGTTGGGGGTGGAGAGAGAATAGGGAAAACAAAATAAGTAAAGGGAAATTAAGAAAAGAAACAAAATAGTAAAAGAGTATTATGGACCTTTTACAATCTTCAACAATCAAGAAAAGTTGTTCTACCAAAAGTTTTTCTCAAACAGCTTGCACTTTATCAATATAAAGTTGCTTCATCAGCTGAAGTTAAAAAAAAATTGCTTCCAAACGGCCGGCCCCTAAAGCTGGCTTAGCTTTCACATGAGTGCCCAATACAATGTTTTTATTTTCAAAACAGAGTTCAAACCTTGGGAACTTCAAGCTTAAAGCTGGCTTAACTTCAGCATGAGTGCCAAGCAAACAAGTGCTAAAAAGTCACCCAGCTACAGCACTAAAACAATAGGGCTTCTAGTACCAGTACTCATCGGTTCATAAAAACGCACGAGCACAACAATCCTGGCTCAGAACATGAAAAATGCGATGAATGCTATACAGAGCACAAATGTCGTCATGCTCCAGTTACATAATTAGACTAAGAAAAAAACCAGTGGCAAATTATTACATTGGAAATCATTGGCCATCACAGCACAAAGAGAACATACTGGGGACAATCCATATAGGTTGCACCATGCTGCTGTAACATGAGAAACTAAAGACATCAGATTTGGGGGCATCATCTCCATGCAGTGGCTTGCCCAACTCAAATGCAACCAAATGGCCAGAACCAGAATCATAGCAGTATACACGGTTGCTCCTCCCTCCCAACCTCTCTGGGTTCATCCACGGTAGTGGCTGAGCTCTCGAGTCATTGCTGATGAATATCGCCCATTTCTCCAACCTCTCCACCTTCACCCACTTTGCAAGTTCAGTCGAAGTGTCAAGACGGTAAGCTTCAAATACAGACCCTATCACATGGAAATCCTTTCGGCAGCCAACCATGAGAAGCATGTCGCCGCACACCACCAGCCTAGGGTTGCAAAGATGCCATTTGGTCATGCTATTTTTTCCACCCCAGGAAACTGGTATCTCCTATAAGCGGATCTGGGGAGTCAAGTGAACCATGAACAAACTATGATCAGAACGCACCATGCCAATGACTTGGCCTTTGAAGACTACAAATTTGGTGAGTGACCCACTGCGAGGAGAGCATTTTGACCAAGAGTCACTACCATCATGCCAAAAGAAGTTGGAGTACGCAGTGTAGACAATGAGATGTGAGTTGGGAGATGTTAGAGGACCTGTGAGGGCAGCACCATACCAGAACTTGGTGTTTCCAATAGCTGGAAGTGGTGGAGGTAAAACCTCAATACCAGTCAACACATCAAAAATAAAACATGTTTTGTGTCACACCCAGCGACCACCAGTGAAGGGCGTGCCATGAAGAGGAAGTCGTATACCTCATTAGCTTTACGTATTTTGTTGTATTACGTTTTCATTATTGAACTGTATTGTGGGGCCGAATGTCCAGTGGCAGTAATGGCACATAAGTGCCCGAATCCTGTGCCATGTCCGGCAACGACTCTTCCAATTGGTAATCCAATTCGCCAAGGCAGTGGGTTTGCCCTGCCGGCGTCCTCGTTCCGTACTTGCTCGAGTGCTCACGTCGACGGTGATCCACCGGTGGCCATGGGTCTGACAGCTGGTATCGGAGCCGACCTATCCTCGGCGTGGGGGGGCGCTCGCCGCTCTTCATCTTCGCTTCTACCTCGACTCCGACCTCGCCCGGCAGCGGATCCAGCGCGCCGGCAACACCACCACCACCGCAACCACCACCACCACCACCACCGGCGCTCCGCCTACCTCGGTAACATTTCGACTCCGTTCGCTTAGATCGCGGTTCGTAAATCCGGTCAGCAGGTCACCTCTGTCCATGCCCTAGAGGTGTTCGACGTGAGGTCCCAGAAATCCCTCCTTTGGTTGAACTGGGTCAGCGGCGGCGTTGGCGTAACCTGGCTTGAGCGCCACCACACCCACTTCGACAACACCCTAAATCCCCATCCACACTGACAGTCTGCTACATCTACGGATCGCCAAACAACTGGGGGACTACACCAACAATTCTGAGTTCAGCGGCGAATAACTATCGTGAGCATATTCAATTCTGCTCCTTTACATTCATTTAGCACATTTGTATGAACGGCGAGGGTTGCAGGACATTTGTTCTTGCGTAAAATTCCGTAGTTGGTTCATTCAAATTGGTGCGGAGAAGTTGGAGGGGGAGTGTCCTTGAGTTTGGGTTGCGGGGCAAGTGTTCCCGTGTTAAATTCCTCGGCTCAACCTCACTCCCAGGCGGCGGTGAACGTGACAGACAACACCAAGGGTAGGAGCAATCCGAACCTATTGTTTGATCAACTGTTGGCTCAGTTCTATTCCGATCGGTCACAACGGCTCCAATCAAGCCATCAAAGCAGACACAACTTCTCTTGGACAATATGTCTAAAAACACTGAAGAGGAGAACACACAGTGGGATCAGGTTATGGAACACTTTGATCTCCAGTTCACAAGGGTCAATGACATTGGTGAAGTCCAGCAGCAGATCAAAACTCAAATGGATATCAGGGGACAAGCAATGGATAATTACACGGCTGAGCAGCACTTAATAGCCCAACAAGTCAAGGCCAATGGTGCAGCGGTTGCCCAGCTCACGCTGCGGCACTTTGAACATGAAGGACCATTTGAGGATGATTCTTCAGTGTCTGTCATCTTCGACGAAGAACAACAGTTTGAGAATGTCTTTGCTAAGGACAAGGGTCCTCACAAGCCTAAAACGTCCAAGACCAAGAAGCCACCCCCCAAGCATGACAAGAAGACAACCCTGCCGACACAAGCGATGCCAAAAATGCAGTTCCCAAAGTTCGATGGTCACAATCCTAAAATCTGGAAAGACAACTACAAGAGCGATTTTGAGTTATACCAGCTGCCCGAAGGCATGTGGATCACAGCAGCACACCTCCACTTTGAAGGTAATGCTACCAAATGGTATCAAGCTTATAAGCAAAATCACACCTTCAGGGATTGGGATCATTTCTGCTCGGCAGTGGAAGAGGAATTTGGGTCTGATGATTTTTGAACTGCTATGAATGCTTTGTTGGACCTCAAACAAACTGGCACTGTGGAAGATTACACCGCCCAATTCCAGACTCTTCAATATGATGTCACAATGCACAATTCCAGTTATGATGAAATGTTCTTCACACCACAGTACATAAGAGGACTTAAGGAGGAGATCAGGGCGGCAGTAGAACCTCAGATGCCAACAACAGTACAGAAGGCTTCTACCATTTCCAGAATTCAGTAGGGCATGCTGGAACGCAGTAAATCTCGCTATCACAAACCAGCTAATCAGGTCAGACCTTATGCTCCTCCAAAGGCTAACTACAAACCTCCTCAACCGGCCACTTCACTATGGAAAGATCGCCAATTAAGAGATTATCGCAAAGCCAATGGTTTGTGTTTTTCCTGTGGCGAGAAATTTGTGCCTGGACACCTCGAGGTCTGTTCCAAAAGGCAAAAACCATAGGTTAATGCTATGTTGCTCAATGACCTGGACAGGGAATTGTCAGATGACGTCCTTAACGAACTAGCAGTGGAAGATCAGCTGCATGAGGTGTTTTGCCAGCTATCTCTCAATGCACTATTTAGTCAGGACAACACCAGCTGCATCAAACTGAAAGCTAGGGTCCAAGATAAAGTTTTACTCATACTGGTTGATAGTGGAAGTACACACAATTTCATCAGCTCCAAGTTTGTTGAAATGGCTCAGTTACAAACCGTGCCCACTATTCCCAGAACAGTGAAGCTCGCAAATGGGGAATGGCTGGTGACAGATAGACTGGTACCTCAACTCCACTGCTATTGTCAAGGCCAAACCTTTGCTACAGACATGGTGGTTCTAGAAATGCAACCCTATGATGCCATATTAGGGTGTGATTGGCTCCAAGCCCACAGCCCTATGGAATGTGACTGGAGGAACCACACTCTCAAGTTCTCAGAAAAAGGCAAGACAGTGACACTTCAAGGATTACAAGATCCACCCCTTCAAATATCCTCTATTTCAGCAACAAAAGTATACAATTCCACCAAAGGTAATGACATATGGGCCTTTGTCCTTGTAGACCACATATCATATCCCTCCCCAATCAAACAACATGATACCTCCCAAACCCCAGAAGCCATCCAACATATTCTCACAGCATACAAAGATGTTTTCAATGACCCCCAAACACTACCACCCCAAAGAGCCTATGACCATGCTATTCCACTTATTCCTGGCTCTATTCCCATTAACTCCAAACACTACCACTACTCTCCTTTGCACAAAACTGAAATAGAGAATCAGGTACAATAGCTCTTGCAAGCAGGCCTCATTGCTCACAGCCACAGCCCCTTTGCCTCTCTAGTGCTCTTGGTGAAGAAGAAGGATGGGTCTTGGCGATTCTGTGTAGATTATAGAAAGTTAAATGACATCACAATCAAGAATAGATTCCCAATGCCTGTGATTGAAGAAATATTGGATGAACTTTCAGGAGCTAAGGTGTTTACAAAGTTAGACATGAGGTCTGGGTACCACCAAGTTAGAATGCTGCCTGAGGATGAACACAAAACTGCATTCAAGACACATCAAGGTCATTATCAGTTCAAAGTAATGCCTTTTGGCTTGACTAATGCACCTGCTACCTTCCAGTGTGTCATGAATCAAATTCTTCACCCATTTTTGAGGCAATTTGTATTGGTGTTCTTAGATGACATACTAATATATAGCACTTCATTGGAGGACCATGCTCAGCACTTAGAGCAAGTATTGGATACTCTCAGGAAACATCAGTTACATAAGGAATCCAAGTGCACATTTGCTAAGGACAGCTTGGAATACTTGGGCACACATTATTTCTTCTAAGGGAGTAGCCACTGATCCAAGCAAGATACATGATATGCTACAATGGCCTGTGCCTACTTCCATGACTGAATTGAGGGCTTTCCTTGGATTAACAGGCTATTATAGGAAATTTGTCAAAAATTATGGGCTCATGACAAAACCCTTGACAGACATCCTTAGGCACAAATAATTTGCCTAGAACCCTACAGCACAGTCAGCTTTTGATGATCTTAAAGTGGCCATGACAAGAACTCCAGTATTGGCCTTACCTAATTTCAAAGAACCCTTTACTGTGGAAACAGATGCATGCCAAGATGGCATTGGAGCGTCCTCATGCAGAAGGGACAACCAATAGCTTATCTTAGCAAGGATTTGGGAGAAAAGCATAGATCATTATCTATCTATGAAAAGGAGTTCCTAGACCTGATCATGGTGATGGAAAGATGGAGGCACTATCTGCAGAGAGGAGAATTCTTCATTCAAACTGACCATAAGTCACTAGCTTACCTCAAGGAGCAGAACCTTCATTCAGACATGCAGAGAAAAGCAATGACAAGACTAATGGGCTTATAGTTCAAAATTATCTACTAAAAGGGCAAAGAGAACATAGCATCATATGCTCTCTCTCGGGTTCGACACATGATGGCACTTCAGGCAGTATCAGTAGTTCAACCGGCATGGGTCCAGGAGGTTCTTAACTCATGCACAACTGACTCACAAGCACAAAAACTATTGCAAAGGTTAGCTATTACCAGTCTAGACACTCAGGGCTACAGTTTGGATAAGGGCATCATATGGTACCAAGGCAAAGTATGGATTGGGAGCAATTAAGCTCTCCAGACAAAACTCATCTCTACCTGTCATTCCAGTGCCCTTGGGGGTCACTCAGGCATTGCTGCGACTTACTACAGGCTCAAGAAGCATTTTGCCTGGAAAGGGATGAAACAAGATGTGGATAATTTTGTAAAACAGTGCAACATCTATTAGCATGCAAAGCATTCTCTTCAACATCCTACCCATACCAGAAGGCGTTTGGCAAAATTTGACAATGGACTTTATAGAGGGTCTTCCAAAGTCTGAAGGGTGCACTGTCATATTGGTCATTGTGGATAGGCTGAC